CCCCAAAACCCCAAAACCCCAAAACCCCAAAACCCCTAGATTTTACCAAATAATTGAATTTATTTTAAAGCACTGAATTTTCAAGCTCAAAGCAAACACTGTCAAGCTCCTGGTTTATCTTTTCCTTTAGACTAGAATATCTCTTCAGAAGGTAAGTCTTGATGTATTTATCCAACTCTATGATCTTCACCTTCACGTTAAACTCCACAGGCTCATTTACTCTGAATATTTCTTGAGCAGAGTAACTTTTGATCACCAGGAGTGTCTGCATTCCTAATGATTCTTCTGTATGGTTAGGTGAAAGATTTGATAAAAATATTAAATAGGTCTGTACTTTTTCATCAAATGCGCTTATTTCTTCTTTGTCTTCTTGGCTTTGCTGGTTTTCTAGATTGTTATCTTCATCTTGGATATGTATAAAGGCAGGAATAATTTTGATGGTCCCGATATATCTGTCGTTTCTGAACTTCTGGGTGACTTCTAACTTGTATTCAGGTTTTTCAACAGTTATTGTGTTGGTTCCTTCTTGACGGTATAAAGGAATATGAATCTTCATTGAATTAGCAAGGTTCTTGAGCCATTTATTTTGGTTAATGACTGTTTCATATTCTTTTTCTTTCTCTATTATTTTCTTGTTTTGTTGGTTCAAGAAAGCAGACATCTGATGTAAATCTTTGAGATCTTGAATGACTGGATTTTTAATCATATCTGCAATGTTTGTAACGTAGTGATTGCTTTTCTGATTGTAGATACCTAGCTGAGTCTCATAATTCGACATTCTTTTATTTAATTCTCAAGGATATCGGCTTTGGAGTATTTTTGTAACAGGATGAGCAATTCAGTTCTCGATCAACGATGCTTTGCTTATGTCGTCTTTAACTTTATCTAAAGCGTCCTTGTAGGTGTTAATTTGTTCTTTTGATTCTTTAACGATGTCTCCTGCTTTTGATAGTACTTTTGGGTATTTTTCAGGAATCTCAATTACTTGATGTGACTTATGATCATTTAGAAGGCATGTGATTCAAATAAGGGCATCACAATCTTCTCAAGATGCAGTAAGGGGATTTTTATGAGTTGATCACTCATTATTTTCCTTTGGATTTTGTCTTAGGTTTTCTTTTTGCTCTTCTTCCTTTTGTTCTTCTTCTTTTTGTTCTTGCTGATTTTCTTTTTGCTTGTCAACAATATAAATATTCTGGAACTCATTTAACAAACTCTCATCTTTCTTCACCATCTCCTTTGTAATACCTGCTCTACAAAACGGACATTTATTCACCTTCTTCAAACTATTGAGCAATCAGTCAAATCACATAATTTTTCCTCAACAGGCAACCTGTACAGTAAAATCTGGATCCATTCAGTCTGTTCAAATAGGTCACTCGAAGATCTGTGGCCATCCCCCACTGACTTCCACCAGCAGCTGCTTCTTGACTGCTCTTCACTCAGCCCTCTGCTGTTCGTGTAGGTCAAGGAAGGAGTCTGAAAACCCGATCTGGATGGAGCACAGGCAGGTCGAGCCTGGCTGGCAGGTCTGGGTGGTGCCTGAACAATGGGGAGGAAGGGAGGAGAGGAATAGGAAGTGGCAGGTCTTGCAGAAGGACCAGTGCGGAGGAGGTTTGGGGGTAGGTATGGATTTAGGGAACATTTGGGGGATTTAGAGGGAAGGGAGATGGAGAGGTGAGTAAGGTGTAGTTTTGGAGGTGAAAAGAGGAAGAGTGGAGTTTTATAGTGTTATTTTGTTTCAATTTTGCTAAGTTTTAAAGGGGTTTTGGGGTTTTGGGGTTTTGGGG